TATGTATGTATGTATGTGAGTATGTACGTACGTATGAATGTATGTATGTATGTATACTGTTTGCAAAACAGACGTGTATGTGTGTGTAGCAGTAAACACAAACGCATGCATGCATGGATGCATGCATGCATGCATGCATGCATGCATGCATACATACATACATACTTACATGCGCTATTTCATACATGATACATGCATACAGGCTTACATGCACACAACCACCAGACCCAAGATCATCCTAAACCTGAAACCAAAACACACAAACCCTCCCTAGACTACTAGACCCTGAACTCCTCCTAAACCCTGCCAAACCCTCGGAAATTCTGCTGAGACCCTCCTAAATCCTCCTAAACCCTCCTGAACTCTCTTGAGCCGGTCGATGCTCCGAGATGGACTCCCAAACACCACAAGCCTCCCAAACCCGAAACTCTGCCCGGATCCGAGGGATGGGCGTAGGAGCCGGGTCCAGGAGTCTTTGCTCTCCTTCAGTAAGGATACTTAGGGTTTAGGGTTTCGGGTTTGGGGTTTAGGGTTTAGGGTTTAGGGGTTTAGGGTTTAGGGTTTTAGGGTTTAGGGTTTAGGGCAGCTAGCGGGTGCTGGCAGCTAGCGGCTTCTAGCAGCGCGGTCGGCATGATTGAAACTGCGGCTACGGTCTCAAGCATGGCCATGTGACGACGAACGGCTGTTTTGGCACACCTCACTCCAACGGCTCATGCCTGAATCTGATTTACTATCTTGCCTGTTAGCTAACCAAGCCAACCAACTCTAGCTAAGTCAGTGAAAGATGCCTGACAGGTTCCGTGAGGAGAGGGAGAGGGGGAGACAGGCAGAGAGGGAGGGAGGCAGAGAGGGAGGGAAAGGGAGTCACGGAGAGAGGGAGAGGAAGAGAAATCATCTCCCGGCAAGGCCGCGTTGTGTCGGGGCGTGGGGCTCCGAAATCGTCAGCCACATTCATGCATCGCACAGCAGGCAAGGCAGCAGCCACGGCAGGGAGAAGAGTGGTGAGGCGATCGACAGCGGAAAGGGTGAAATCAATACTCCTGCTTGAGAGATTGCACGGAGCGCGGTGCTCGTGGCATGACGACTTGAACGTGTTGGAAAGGAATTAGCTGGCAGATGCGTCCTCGAACACTCAACGCATGTGTCGTCAAAAGATAAGCACCGTCTG